CTAAACTCTCTTCAGAATATATGAGGACAAGCTATTTCCCAGCATCTGTAGCAGTAGTGATTCAGTAATAATAAGGCTGAAAGCTTTCCCTATTACAAAATCAAATGCGTCATTTGGTGATGTTTCTATGCTACTCCTGTTGCCAACGTTACTATAATTGGAGAAGGAGAAAAAAAGTCCTCACCAACTCTGAATATAAACATCAAGGGGGGGGAAAATGTCCATCTGAACGATCCACCAAACAGTGATTCAGCAAAGAAGTTGAAAAAAACATTTTTCCCGCCCTTCAGTTGTCATCATCTTAAAAAGACACAGAAATCTTAAGATTCCTTTAAGCTCTAATTTCATTTGGCGGGCCATACAGTGGAAACCGGAATCCTTATTCTAAGCTTGCACTGCTCACTATACAACAATTATAATAGCAGCTGGTTCTAAAAGAAAATTGTCTCTCAAGTCTTTCTGCCTTGCTCGCAGGGGCACATTTCAAAGCCAGAGCCAGCATTACCTGCACAGAAAGCTCCTGCTGTCCCAGAAAGGATCTTATCCACAGAGATTACTGTCAGTGTCTTACTGTGTCAATTTAGCCCTCTGACAAAAGACAGTCTCTTCATCAAAGGGTTTTCTCAAAGCAAAGACTCTTCTCCTTCTGCCTACACAGCTTCACATATTGCCTACAAGGTATGAATAGTAGACCAGTCTACAGAGGTTAAACATTTTTCACCAATGTTAAAAGAACTATCGCAACAAACATTGATATAGAGTGTACCTATTTAAATAATGGCTTACATCGTTTGAGGAAAATTATTTCTTAGTTTATACTTTAAGAACAAAGCCTTGAAAAGCTGTTTTAAGCTATTCTCTCCAAAGAAACTTTACTCTGAAAAGTAAGTGAACAGAGATAAAATCCTACTAGATTTGGCTTAGTCAATCTAACAGGACAGATCTGCTCACCAAGCCAAAGAAAGATCACTATGAATCAGAAGTGAGTTGACTGCAGTGGGTTTTCGTGTATCCTTGAGTCGTTACTGACTCATAGCTGACCCTCCAAGCAGGCTTTCAGAGGCTGTAAAACTGCACAGGAGGAGACTGCCCGTTTTTCTCCTGTGGAGCAGCTGGTGGATTCGAATTTTGTGCCTCTGGATTGGCAATGAAATTCTTTACCACTAGGCCACCAGAGTTTCCCCCTCACAAACTTAGCAGTAAATATCTATAAAGACTTTACATGTGCCAGGTATCTAGTGAATATAAACCACAGACAGCATCTTCACACTTATCTACTGATGTTGTTATATATGGTTGAGTTGAAATCGATTCAGTTGACCCTCCAGCACGTTTTCAAAGGCTGTAAATCACACAGATTTCCCATCTTTTCCCTGCTGAGCAGCTGGTGGATTAGAACAGCATGTCACTGGGCTGGCAGCACAACTCTTTACTGCTAGGCTTCCAAAGCTCTCTTCAGAATTCTCTAGTGACTCCTTGAGAGTAGGAATCTCACTCATCCTATCTTAACTCTGGTCCCAATGCCTGGCACAAAGTAGGTAACGTGTGTGTGTGTAATGAACACATTTTCCAAGTTTTTAGAAATTCTTTAACATATAATTTTGCAAAGTTTGGATAAAGATATCCTTTTATTCATACTGTAGCCTTTATTCTCTTACTGTTGTTAGAACTATACATCTTCTATTTTCCATATAAGGAGTCCTGGTAGCATTGTATGTAAAACTGTCTGGCTATTAAATGAAAGGTCAGGGGTTTGAATCCACAAACTGCTCCAACAACCTCTGAAACCCAAAGGAGGGTCACTATGAATCAGAACTGAGTTGACTGCAGCTGGGTTTTTGTTTATTCCTCATGTAGCTCACAGGTTTATGTCAAAGTACACTAGGATAATGAATATAAAAGCCCTTAGAAAAACACAGAACAAATTCCAAATGCAAACTGGCACTGAGGAAGTTTAGACTGTGTCCTTTAATATTCTCCTGAATTTGAATATCTGACAACTTCACTTCTGAGCAAAGAAGTTAAGGAGAATTCCACAGACAACTCCAATATGTTGCACCTGCTTCTTGACAGTCTGAAATATTGTAATCGGTTGTTCCTAATAATCTCCCACAGCAGGAAAGTGCAGTGTGGACAAAGGAGCTTGCTGGGAAAGAACTACAAAATCCATGATCCTGTGAGGATGTTCCCCCCCAGTTCAATAAATTAATCAAGTTTCTACTTTGTGCCAAGAAAGACGATCTCCTCCTGTGAGATTTCAAGCCTCTGAAAACCCACTGCTGGGTCAATTCAACTGGATAGTATGTTAACAACAACAACAATAACAACACTCTTTGCCATATATTATGCCAGATACTGCGGATTTTAAATATGAACTGACCTGGTCTTTGTCCTCTCTGCCTTACAGATATATTCAGGCTTCTTAAACATAGGAAAGAAAAATATTTACCTTTGATTATACAAACCCCTAATTTATTATAGGGAAATGTTGCAATTGCACAGAGGATGCTTGCCTCACTAACCCTGGAGAAAGGTACCAAACTAAGCCATCAATCTTAAGAAAGAAGTATGAAAACAGGGTTTGTTAAAATGTAAAACAAATCTTTAAAGACCTCTTTAAAGTGTTAAAAAGCAAAGATGTCACTCTGAAGTCTAAGGCTTGCCATGATATTTTCAATGGCCTCATATGCATGTGAATGCTGGACAATGAAGGCTGAAGGAGAATTAATGCCTTTGAATTATGATGTTGTGAAGAATACTGAACATGCTGTGGACTGCCAGAAGAATAAACAAATCTGTCTTGAGAGGAGTACAACCACAAAGCTCTTCAAAAGAGAGGATGGGGAAACTTTGTCTTAAATACTCTGGGCATGTTCTCAAAAGGGACCAGTCCCTGGAGCAAGACACCATGCTTGTTGGCAAAGCAGAGTATCAGTGAAAAAGGGGGGGGGGGGGGCAGCCAGAACCTCAAAGAGATGGAACTACAGGTACAAGGTCAGTGGTGACTAGGAGCAAAGTGCAGGACTGTTGCGTGGCAGATGGGGTCACCCACTGAGTCAGAAACAAATTGATGGAGGACATTATGCTGAGTGAAGTATCTCAGTCACAAAAGGACAAATACTGCATGGTGCCATTGTTGTAAAACAGGACTGACATTGGGGTTGGGGGGGAGACTGAGAAAGATGGGATAAATAATATATACTGCATTGAAACAGATGAGGGGGAAAACTGTATAAAAGGGATATATGATTAGGTATTTTTGTCATGACAGGAGTCCAGAGCGAAGGCTGCATAGTGGAGAGGACCTGGGGAGAGGAGTTGTAAAACAAAGAAAGATTTTTTTCTTTTACTTTTCCAAGAGGGTAGCATACTGGGAGGGGGGGGTTTTGGAGGGGAGAAAAGTGCAACAATGAATGAATGGAAATCCAAAGTCTCTGTAAATTTTCATTGAAATTAATAATAATAATTTTAAAAAAGAAAGAAATTAATGGCACCTAAAAACAACAACAAGAAGACACATCTGTCTGGTGGACAGAAAACAGGATGGCAACTATCACAATGCAACCACCATATATAGCTTGGACTGTACAAGAAATACCAAACTATTTTGCTTTCTGGACTTTTCACTGCACTTTGATTCCAGCAGTCACACTCCCCAAACTGAAGTTCTTGTTTTACCCTCTTTTGGCATGAGCCATTCAAATACACATTCTACTTGTTCTTCCTGCCCCAAGTTCAATGGTTATCATGAACAATCATCGCGATTATTCAATATGGGCTAAATGGGATGTTTTCACTGCAAGTTTAGAGCTGGGAAAGATAAAGGGGTGTGCACACTTAATTGGAGAAACAGAAAATGCGGAGGGGAAACGCCTGAGGATCACTAAGTACCCAGAGGTTAAGAATGCTTGGTCAGGAGTTGGAAACCAAACCCTAGCCCTTCAGACAACAGTGTGTACTTCTCCCTCCAGAGCGGGTGGTGAGAGGATTAGGTGAGGGATATGGAAGGGTTTCCCTGTGCTCCACACACAAAAGTGTTCCCCCAAGTGACAGCTTCTTAAGTAAAATGAGAAGGAAAAAAAAGGAGCCAAAGGGCTCCAAACTGAGCTCTGAGTTAAGACTGCTCTATGGAGGCGAATCAGCAAGAAAGCCAAGGGAGGCCAAACAGGACTGTGTTTTGAAAGGTGACTGGCACCTGGTGAGGTATGCATCTTTTAAAAAACATATTAGCACCCAACAGGAGAAAAAAAAAAAAAACCAAAACACAACACACCACCAAACCAAAAAGCAACCCCAACTTGTAAACAGGTTGGGTTGGGATGAGGAAGATAAGCTTTGGCAGCGCTGTCACTTCTTATCTCGAGTGCGTGAGTTCCAAACTGCTCGTCCCTGCACTTCATTTAGGCGAGTCACTTAACCCTTTAGGCCTCAGTCTGCCTCGCCTGAAAATGGGGGGTTACACAAAAGTTACTCGCCAGCAAGAGTTTGCGCGTGGATGACACCAGCGCTGGTCTGCGGACTTGGCCCTGTTCCGGCCGCAAAGCAGCAGCGCGAACTGGCCGCAGCAGCGGACA